GTTAAAAGTTAGCACAGCAATAGAAAAAACAGAAATGTATTATAATATTTTGTTGTTAATTAATTACTTTGTTGCCAAGTTGATTGTTTCATCTTTAATTCAGAAAAATGCTCAATTAATATCCAACACTAGCATATAATAAAATAATAAATTTATCAAATATCTCGATGCATTACATCTTTTTGAATCTAATTGTAAGATATCAAAGTAATAGTCAAATATGTATAAGCCGACACGAATGTTAGTGTGTGATAATTTTTATTATTACAATATCCAGCCACACACAAACTGCGCGCCATGTTTTTGTTGATCTTGAAATACAATTTTTACATGAAGCTGGAATTCACTGCAACGAATTAAATTGACAAGTAATCTTCTAATAAGAATCTTCTGCCTCCAAATCTGTACATCTTTTTGATTTGGTTGTTTGAGATAATGTTGTTTTATTGTTATATTTAAACTTCTGCTCCGATAGTACAACTAAAACTTTAAGATTACAAATTCACCGAATTTGTAATCTTCTCCGATCTCGATAGATTATATCTTTTGCTTTTGTTTGCAATAAACTTACGGTTAATAAGAACCAAGTAACACTTTCGCGTCCATTATTGATTATTTAAATATTTTAAAATTGCAAATTAATAAATTTACTTTTTATATTGACTGCCATTACAGACACTTCGCGAGCGCTATTTAACACTCTTTACTTTTTATTATAATTTAATACATTAACTTCATACACGTAATACACACAACTGTCAAAATGTGCAATAACAGCCGTTCAGCCGAAGTTAGCGCACCGAGAGAATCAATCATCATCGCGGAAAAATGTCAACAATAAACTTCGAGAGACTTTCTAGAAGACCGATATATTTCGAGTTAATATGCCTTTTTTAGATAGGCTCCGATTAATAAAATATCTGTACAAAATTACATTCCAAAAAAAAATAAAATTTCTTTATTCTACTTCAGAAGCTAATCGCCATAAAACAATTTAAAAAATTCTAAAAATTTATATAATATAAAAATTTATGTAATAAAATTTATGTAATAAAATATATAATAATATAAAAATTTATGTAATAAAATTTAAATAACAATTAGTAATAATAATTAATACTTATGTGTACTATTAAAAAACAAAATAAATTTAATTTAATATATGGAATAGTTCAGAAAAAATGACACATCTTCGAACATAATAACAAAAAAATGTGAGATTTATTAAAATTCAACAATTATAAACAATTGGATAAAATTTTTTTTTTACAATTTATGAATTATGTATTAATCCATATATTAAATCAAATTAATTTCATGTTTTTAATAATACACATAAATATTAATAAAATCACAGATAAAACTTTAAATTTAAAGCAATAAATTTAATATAATAAAAGTAAAAATTAGTGTTACAAAAGCTATAACATAAAACTTCAAAAAGATAAATTTATTTATAGAATTAATAAAATTATAAATATGTATATTTACATAAAGTTTTATTTTTAGTTTTATAAACTCAAATGTAACAAAATTGAAATGGTCTTAATAATTTTTCTTCCTATACCAATACTAAATCGGTATGGAGAAATATTACAAATTATTAACAAATCATATTTTGACTTTTTATATACATATAATTGAAGATAGTCTGTCTGTGCTATACTGTTACGGCATTTATCAAAAATTAAATAAAATATTAATGTTTTTGTTTTTTCACGTTTTAATAATAGAATTTATTATAATAATTTAACATTATTTTTTGATAATCTAAAAAAGTTTCACTTATTTTAAAATAATGCAGCAAAATATTTAACATAATTATTTATTATAAGCCTATGTTGGACAATCTATTCTATACTTTGTGTCTTAGGATAGAATTATCTTTAAAATTTTGTATATCATGTATTTCGTTTATATTATACAAGGTGTAATTAAAACAAGGTGACAAACTTCACTCCCTGAGTTTGCTTATTTTAGTTATATTGTGTGTATTTTAATTCTTCATATTTTTTCATATTACAAGTTAATATCAACGAACTTATAATTAATATCACCATTAATAATAATATATAATAAACATTATTTACAAGTTAAAAACGAAAAATTGAATTAATAAATCGTAAATCTTTTTTGAGAAATCACGAAACAATCGTCAATAATTAGCTCTCATTTTAAAAAACCTAAGTTTAAAATATTTGAAAAATGCAGATTAGTCATGATATTGAATAACTCAATTGATTTATGATTTCCTTCGCAATGTAACGAACTTAATATTTTAAATATAAAATTATTATCAAATATAGAACCATCGAACAAAAGTTCTTTCTAAAGATTTCCTTATAAATTCTAAAAATATATTTTATTTTAATCAAATTATAATAAAATTTTTCTATCACATAAAACAACTATAGTTGTACTTCTACTATACAGGGTGTCTCATAATAGGTGTATCACCGTTCATGGGTAGGTAGAACGGACTAAACTGAATCGAAAAGTCCTCTACCATTTTGCAAAATTCGCAATCGTTAAACAAGATATTAATTTTTGAACTGAGTCGACAAGGCACACAGGGGATA